TGAGAAAACCACTTTCGGTCCACTCACATCGGATCTCTCCCCTCTCACGCTCAGGAAGAATTTCCATCGGGGCACTTCGTAATCCTATAGGGGTCCACAGCAAGAGGCCGTATTCAGTAGCTGGAGGAAAGGGGTACTCGTAACCGCCTTTGAGGAAGATGCTTTCGGTTGCTGACGTTTTTAGCTTTTTTTCGTTACGTGCGCTCTATACGCCCATCCCACTCGGATGGAACGGCAGTTCTTTCAAGGAAACTTCAGAAAAAAAACTCCAGAAAAGCGGTTTGGAAGATAAAAATTCCATAGAAGTGGAAGTTGAGAAAGTTAAGCAAGGAAGTAGGGGTAGGATGCGGGATGGGAAAGGGGGCCGTACCAAAGGGAGAGATTTCGAAGAGGAACGTGTTTTGCAAAAATCCCCTTCCCCTAACGACAGGATGCCCTGGTCTCCATCCCCTGGCTCGCAAACAATTTCATCGAATGAAAAAAGAAATCGAAGAGACATAGAACTTCAATAGGATTGCATAGAAATAGCCCGGTAATCATGCATGACAAAATGGCGCGTTATTTTTTGGACTAGCGTTAGCAACTCACCTGTAGCACTTCGATTCGACCAGCTCTATTGCGCGCATTCCTTCAATACCTGGCCAAGGCTGCTTCGCATGTGACGAAGGTGGTGGTGAACTCTCCATCGCCAATTCCACAACACTCCCAACAGAGCCAGCCTCACCGCCTTCTTGTATGGTATAGATTAGGAAAACGGACAAATAACAATTAATACTTTAGCGCAGCCCGGTGAGGGGGCATTTTGCACTTTTGCTTCCTTTCGTCTACGTGTCGAGCCACCAACTGGAAACCTCTGAAATCTTGAGCAGTCGTGAAAAAAACAGCTTGTTAGAGACCGTTTGTCAGCTCCTGCACCTTTCAGCTCTTGTAATGCAACGGAATACCATACAATTACCATTCCCCGTGGTGGCTCGATAGGCTTGCTCCTGCTTGACGGGAGTTCACAGGTAACACCACGGTGAAACTTGTAAGCCGAAAACACCAGCGAAAATGCAAAATGCCCCCCTCCCGTCGCCAGACTGCGCCAATACTTCTATTTGAAAAAAAAACAACCAACCAGTCATTTCAAATATCTCGAAGCCTTCGTCATTGAAGAGCACCGGGCTCGAAAAAGACGTCAGCGATATAGGCGGCTCAGCCACGTCTTCTGTTTCCATGCCTAATCCTGCAATTCAAAAACCTCTGTAATAACGCTCACTTTACCACATTCTAATGGAACAAACGTTGGAGAACCTCACGAGGCCGAAAAAGGCATTAGCACAACGGGGCCATTTTGTCATAGGAGGAGCTGTTAAAAGTACGACAAGAGAATCGTGATTCGCCGCGCCGGTAGGCGTCGCGTGCGACGTCGCGCTCGCAAATGAA